GCCCCAGATACCTGAAAGCAGTCTAACGAACGAGTGGGTTGCAGATGGAAGTGAATGAAACTTGAGACTCGTTCTTGCGCTGGTCCCCATGAGGGGTATAATTGATCGACCGGGGCTTCCTGGTTCGTGGATCTCCGGGAAGGAATTTCCTTGGCTTCGCTTACCTAGGCAGGACGAAACGCATTAGAAGGCACGGTATTGCCTTACAGTAGGAAAAGCTGCATAGCGCTTTCCATACGATTTCTCACTCTCACGCAGCTCACGTTCAACTCCAAAAATATACTCTACCTGCCTTCACCGAGGTCTCAGTTCTCATTCGTCTATGCACGGTGACCAAAAAAAAAAGAAGCAAATGAAAGTCTGAATCACATAAAACCAATGGAGGCATGGGAATAGAGATGAATGAATGGGTTTTTTTTTTAATTGAAAGATAAATGAGTTCTTCACAGAGTTGCTTACTTTCTCTTAGGTGTAATAGCCATGGCGGCGGTAGCACCTTTACAATAAACGGAGTGGAAAGTAACAGCCGCCAGCCGACGTGGAAGCGCGAAACCGCAGGGAAGAGACAGGGAAAAACCATGGTAGGATGGTCCAGTTGCAGTTGTCGAAGTGATAGTTGAAAGTGTCGAATTGAAGATGATATAAAAATTTACATTTCCAGCAGGTTTTGAAGTGTACATTGGAGAAAAACGAAAGCTGATATTCTACAAGGCTGCCAATATCTGATCGCATGGAATCTGCCCAAAAGACGAACCGACGACTGTCCAAAAGTCCGTTTGCTACTTGGTCGAAGTGAATGACTGTTCTTAGCTCTCGCAGTTCTTGGAGATTCCTCCCTATCGCCACGATCTGGAGGTTTCCAGTAAGATTATTCACCCTTCAGTTCCGAGGCGGAATGTCATGATGTGGGTCGTGTCTGGGAAGCTTATTCGACCGGATATCGATAGGTAATATCACAAATTTACCAGAATCGGCTCTAGTGTGGGTCGAAGGTAAAGTAACTCCGACAGGAAAAGGAAAAGAAAATTGAAAATTTTTATTTATTTATTTATTTTCCAGGGGACGGACGCGAACATGCTTCGGCCAGAGGATGTGGCCCAGAAAGGGCGATCATGGATGCCGCCGAATTCAGTTGATCCCGAATGCAAGAACCTGTTCCGCTTTTATATCAGATGGAATATTCTTTAGTACTCGTATAATCCTCGGTCCCGAATTTGAATACGACATTGGGGTTTGGGACAGCGACTTCCCTCATCTCTTCCCTGGAATCTGTGGGTCCATCGTTACGTCATTCGTCTGACAATAATGTCACGTATTGTCACGTGGAATTCACTCGGAATGCTCATTAAGGCATTGGGTCTCGAGTTCCAGACATCACTGTTCGCTATCTTGCTCTTGGAATATCTGTCGATGAGAATATTTCTGACCCTTTAGGCTTCTCCGGATTCTTTGGTGCAACCTAACTCGATGATGGAGCCGTTCATTCTTCGGTTCGATTGCACAAGAACCATGCCGATGTCGATATCGACTTCTTCACCTACAGTTAAATCAATAGACATAATGCCGCTTTTGCAAGAAACGTCCGAAAAGAAGAAAATCATGCCGATCTGCGCCGCTACATCCCAACAGCCTATGATACTTATGAAAACTTATTCTATCGGATGCAACCGATTCCCCGAGGAAAACTGGAAGTCGTAGCCAGGATTTTCTGCTGGAGGGCAAAGGGGGGACAGGCCGTAGTCCGAGTATCACGCTAGTTCAGTCCTACTATCCTCCGGTCGGAAACATTCAACATTCCCTTACGTAGACCCACCCACTGGCGTCGAAAAAAAGAAAAATTGCTCATCACTTACAATTGGTAAGTTTTTGAAAGAAAAAAAACACGTTTTAACGTGCAAGTGGGATAAACCTTTATTACATTCTTCAGACAGCCCGAAACAAATCTTTGCGAGTGACTGTTACTTATTTTTCCACACCGAATTCTCTGGAGTGAACATTCGCAAACGTTTAGTTGATTTTGAAATTGAACTCTTTACATCATCAGCCGCGTGACTGAAGAGTAACTAAAACAAAAACAAAAAGCAGTATCCTATTGAATGCCATGTCAATATTAATTAAAAAATGCAGCAAATTTATCCCACAGTATATCAATTTCAGCCTCACAGTGGTTTAAGGCTAATTTTAATTTTTAAAAATTACAATCATTACATTTTTTCCTACAAAAGTGCAATGCTCGATAATATCATGCTTTTTTGTTAGAATCGGAGAACTCAAGGACATAATAAAATTATAATATTTGCCCATAAAGAGAATAAGCAGCCCGGATTAATACGACTGATCGTGTTAGTCAGCTGCATGGAGTGGAAAATTTAGAGAGATTTGGCAGAGATTGTTTCTGAGACAACGAAGCAGGATTTCTCCATGTTGCCTCCAGAGGCCGGGCGCTTGGCAGAATGAGCGGTTTTGTTTGGCGGTCATTATGCGATTTGGATTCCCTCGAGATGCAGGTTGCCCCCGACAACATCTTCAATTGGATTATTTGGCTATCCTTTTTTTCTAAGCGTTCTTCCGCCCGTTCCCAATCTGCCAACTAATGGATAAACAGAATTTTACGAGACGATGTCGGCGATCAGGCAAATGTTTCCCGATGCATTACTCTCAATCGAGGCCTACAGATAAGAGATAAAGTGACGCAGCTTTTATGCTTCCACTGAACAGAGGAAAAATGCTCGTAGCGTCATGTTGCCCCGTCGCCACAACTGTCAAAGCGCGTTTGAGCCATGTATCTGTAAGCGGAAGTTTGGATACGGTATGTATCGAGAGAGAGTGTTGAATTTCCAGACGCGAGTTCATCTTTTTAGTCCTATTTAGAAGACCTAGGTCACACGATACGATGTCGATACGATGCGGTTGTCAAGACGAAGTGACGATAGGGTCATGCGTAGCGTAGCAAACTTCACATTTTCGCCAAGCAATTAAATTCAACATTGAAATGTATTATGTTGTCCCATAATTATCTGCGCATGTTCGAGTCCGCCCTACACGAGCACATAGTGCATAATGACATACGTATGTAGTCGACATCAATTTCATCAGTAACCTTCTGAGCTTTAGACGTCGCACTCCTTGTATCTGTGTTTCAACCATGAATTTTGAATAATTAAAAACCTCAGCCACTGTCGCAGAGCTACGAGCATTCATCAAGATCTGCCTACTTCAAGAGCTAAACGCCAGTTTCATCCGCAAGAAGCTCATCAAAGTGGTAGGTAAGAGAGCTCATCTTTACGTACTGTCCAGAGCTGGGTTTCGTGAGGGGCGCACCAGCAACGAACACGTGTGGCTGGTCGACCTGTCTGGAGACGAGGCTGTTAAAACAAATGTCGAAAACATGTTGCGCAAAAGTAAGGCCTGGTCATTAATATGCGTTTCCCCATGCACAAGAAACAAGTTCGTTTTCTTGCTGTCTTGAAGTGTATTAGTGAACATTTGCGGGGTGAACCTCATTTCGAGGCATCTGGAAATGTTTCGGATGCTGGTGGACCTATTGGAAAGGGAGGGGGAGGGGCCTTCGGGGTTAGACCTAGGCCACACCCCTGAATAGGCGAGAGAGGAAAAAATATCGCGGATTGAATTCACGATAGTGTCAAGTTACAGGTGCAGCATGTTCAGCAAGGCAGAAATGGAGATGCTCCAGATTGCATCTGGTAATAAGAACCTCATTCTCCAAGAGGCAAATGTTGAGTTGCTCTGTGCTCTACCTAAATTATAATATCGACGTACCCAACCACACAATGCAGAGGTCCCTTGTCCCCCTACCTACGCCATAATACAAGGATGAGGGAGGATCCGGGGCGGGAAGGGAATCCTACTCACTGACGTCATCCTTCCTTCAAAACATAGTTCCATTCATGACTCATGCAAACACTCCTCGCTCTCGGTCACAAAGGTCGTCCTCTCCTCTCGTACTTATTGCACTTCAAGAATTCGAAGAACATATCGATTGCAGCTTTTTTTAAATAAAGACGCGAATATACTCCTAGAACCGGTTTTCTTAGGGTGTTCAGACAGGCAAGACTCAATGGGGCACTTCAAGGTTGGGATGGCTAGGCTTGTGGTTTTCTGGTTAGAGCAGGGAAATGTGTACCCTCGACATGGTTTCCATCAATTCAAGGTGAAACGCAGAAAGAAAGGTCGACGAGGGATATAACATTTTCTCGTGACAGCCAAAAGAAGGCAAAAGCATGACTATCCTGTACCGCGGGTGCCCGGAACCTCTCTCTCAGTCGTCCGCTACCATAGACAAGAAAGGGACCGCGGGAAAGCCGCTGATGGGTGAGGAAGGATGTATCAGTGCGCCTCACGCTCATGCGCATTGGGAGAGTAGATGACTGTGCGTTGACGAAAGCCTGACGTGGCATTTACGTCGTCCGTCTGTCCACTCCCATCGCAGAGATCCTGTGACGAAGAACACGTAACAGGTACGTAAAGAGTGGACCCTCAATTCGGCTTTTCCCCCTCAGCTCTGCTTCTTTCACTTCTCCCTCGTCACGTTCCTAAGCTATCTTTCCTGGTTCTTCCACTCATTCCGCGTGCTGTAGGCCCAACATAACCTTTCATTAGTTCTTAGGCCAGCCGAGCCCTAGGCCTCTGATATCCTAGGCCTGGTACCATTCATTCGGCAGGTTGGGCGGGATGCGTGAATATAAGCCTAGGTGAAGTCTCTGCCAGAAGCGATAAGATTAGGCCTAGACCTAGACTACCTGATAGCCTCTCCCGCCTAGCCTCTGCTGGACACCGACAATGTGTGGCGGTAGGCCTAGGTGGTAAGCGGTATGCTTAAAGTGGGCGTAAGCCGTGGGGTAACTATATTTCAGTGATTTAGGAGTGTCTGAATTGCTGGATATTACTAGTTACAAATTTGCGGGTGTACTTTTTCTTTGCATGATTTTGACATCTTTTACACCAAGAGAGCGCGTGCACAACAAACACTGACAGTATCAATGAAGTTACTGAAAAAATGCTATGGGAAACCCACTTGGATTGTTTGCATGAATTTTACAACAAACATTTGCATTTTTCAATGTTTGAATGTGAAACCTACATCTTCAGTGGCCTCCCAGGTGTTGTTCCAGTACCTGTTAAGCAATTTGGTTTACATTAATTATGAGTAAAGAAGTCCCTATGATGGAGCAGGATGGGAAGGAATCATGGTTTCAAAATTTGTGTGTGCATTCCATAAGTTGGCAGCATGAGGCTTGCTGCACTAAATTTACCTTATCTGAATACAGTTTCTGGCTTAACTGCTTCAATTTGATCATGGTGGATGAGTATGTTTTAGGTTGACTTGCAATTACTGGTTATATTAATTTCATGAATTAAGTTCATAAGCATTCCAAGTGTGTTTGTTAATGCAGAATCCTGATTATTAATTGGTTGTTGGTTCCTCTGCATAGGTCAGGATAGGCAAAAGGAACCTGTATCTACATTTTCTATTGGATGCTATGTCCTAAATTTGGTATCTAAGCCTGGACCTAAGTAAACAGCTTGCACAACTTGCACTCACTGCTTGCTTTTTATTAAGTCTTCTTGGGAAGCTTGTGCATTAAGCACATGCTTCCTATTCTGTATAAGTGGGTAGAGCAGGTGTTTCTAAACTTAAGCAAAGAATGCCTAACATGAGCTGGATAGAGAGTGAAGAGAATGGGATATGCATGGGAGGCTTTACATGATTGAGAACCTATAGGCAACAGGTTAAGAGGTAGTCAGCTGCCATGCCAGCATCAAACCTACCCTGACTTGTTTTTTGTGGCTCTGACTGAAAGAGTAGTCTGGTAGTAGATAATCTGTTGGTGAGTGGTGCCAGTTCTGCACCTTGATAGTGGGAAAGGGAGTAACTACCCCTTGCATAGCAAGTTCAGGAAAGCCTTACAGGAACAATCACTGAGATGTGTTTTGGCTACTTTGACATGTGGTAACAGGCATGCCAAAGCATCCTGTAAGAGAGAGGTAAGCTAAGAAAAATGCTGCTATCACTTTTAAAATTCTAGGAAACAGGATTTATGCATGAGGATGTGTCTTACCTGGGCAATGAGCTAGGGATGATGGGAAGAAACTGTATAGTGTATCTGCTCAGACATAGGGTTATTGGGTCTCTGCTGTTCCACATTAGTCAATTGCTTTGGGGTGGGTTGGAGCCATAGGTGACTATCACAATCAAGAAAGAAGGGGGAGAGTCTTACCTATTATTGTGATATCCATTTGAAGTCGCTAATATATTTTTTTAGCCCCCCCTGCTGATTGCTGTAGAGGTATATTGGGTTGTAGTTCCCCTTTGCCCTCTTGTTTGGCCATAAATCAATCATTATTCCCTTTTACCTCAGGGCTGCTTGTCACTTCACCTCTGTTTATCTCTTTCAACCTCAAGTCCAAGTGGATTCACTGTTGGTGGGATTAGTGAGGTTTTAGTGCAAGATATGAGAGGGTCCCTAGAATCTGAGAATGTGAATGAAACTGCAGAAAAAAAATAATGGGTGGAGTATGATGTCCATTCTCACACTAATAGCAATACTCTGTTCACATGATGAGTTAAACTTACATATGACTTGCATCCAAGGAGTGTTTGGTTGAATGATGTCACACTGTACATTTTAACATGCTGACCAGCTCTTATTGGCTGGTGCTGTCAGCAGTTTACCTGCCAGTGATAGAAATTTCAATGTCACTTCATGGAAAAATTCAACTCTCACCTATTAGTAATTTTTCCTATTTGGCTTAGGCCTAGATCTCACGATCATCATTAACATCTGAAAAAATTGGTGATTTCTAGGCCTTTAATTGGGCCTCAGTTTTCTAGGTCTTATTCTGAAGTGTCATCTCCTGGCTATGGAGGGATCTATGAGATTCCAAGTCCTGGTATGTTTCAACTCTGAGTTGAGAGAGATAGAGAGAAAGCTAATTTAAGTTATGCCTTGTCTTAGTATGCTCTAGTCTGCAGCATGTAGAAGCCCCCAGTTTAGGCTGATATATTGCTTTCAATGCCCAATTGAGAAATGAATGAAATTATACTATTGGCTTTGCCCAGGTACATTTCTCTTTGCTGTGAAATGTGAAAAGCTAAGAATCTTATTCGGTGGTAAACATATTCCATAGATTTGTACAAACTCTTTTGGAGTATGTCTCACAGTGTGAAGTAATTCTATTTTGATGCTAGCTATGTAAAGTACTGGGAAAAGTTTTAAAATAATTAGGTATTTTGATATTCATATGCTTGTGGGTTTTGTTTTTTTTTTCAAGATACATATAAAGTAGGACAATTGATTTTGGTTGTTTTCATTTTCCTTGGCAGACATTAGTGTGGAGAGGTGAAGGATGGAGAGCATGGTGGAAGAAGGAGGGAGCAACGATCCACTTGCAAACGACAGTTCTTCTGGAGACATCAACGGTCCTTCCTCCGACGGACACATGGTGCTGGTAGCTCACCTTCCCATATCTTTCCCCCTTTATTTAAAGTGCATTTTGGGATATTTTTGTTGTCTCATGAGTGAGAGATATTGCTCAAGGTCTTTTCACTTCAATGGATCTCAAGAGGCAGTCAGAGCATTGAGTGCCATGTTTTGCTTGTGGTTGAGGGAAATTAATCTATATAGCTACTTAAGGCTAAATAGTTGCTAAATGGTTTCTTAGAAAGCATTGAGACGTGGTCAGTGACACAGTCCCATACACTTTGGGAGATAAGAGACATCGTGGTAAGGAAATAAAACAGAAAAATACTTAAAAGTTCAAAGCCAACCATGGCTCAGAATGTCAAGAGTACTTCAAAAAAGAAGTATCCTCCTTTTTTTTTTAGTATTCTAAGCTGAAAATATTGGAGGATCTCAGGAGCAATTCCTGATCTGATTCTAAGTTCAGATTATATCATGGTGCAAGTGCAATGGAAATCTTAAAACAATCATTAGATGAACTTAGTCACCACTCATCTGGGCTATTGGCTTATGATACCTTTGCTAGACCTATGATCTGAAAGATTGGTTCTTCTCTTGAATTCAATGATCCAGAAATCTTAACTTTGGAAGATGCATTCCTCCCAGAAACAGTTTCCAAGTCTCAATCTCATATAAGCCCACCCAGCTTGTATGAGAGTGAAATGCTTTTGACTCAGGCTCAAGGTCATTGATTGGGCAACTATCCTAATGACTGTTTCCTTTAGCTTAAAATGAGCACCATGTTTTCTTGGACAAAACATTTTATTTTAAGACTGTGAACTAAAAGGAGGCTTCAGCCTTCAGCCCTTAACAGTTCATATTCTGAATGAGTGGTCTGTCTTCCTCTGTATGAGCTTTTTTTTGTTGGTTGTCAACCTTTGATTCTACATAAATGCTGCAAATAAGGTTTTATTTTTATTTTTTTAACTGTAGGTTTCTCAGTGGAAATATGTTGGTTCATTCCAAATGGTCCTTCCTCTTCCCAGTCGGTGATCCAAGCAACCCAGCAGCAGCAGCCATCTGTGATACAAGCAACCTCGGGACTACAAGCAGTACATTTTTCTAAGGGGAATGTCATTCTTTTGAACACAAGCAAGTCAGGGGGGGTCATTCAGTCTGCCAGTGGCAACACATCCATCCAGGTATGCCTAGACATTTCCAAAACTTTTGTTTCCTTTCTCCATTTACAAGTATTCTTTTCAAATACTGGACTCCATTATGTTTGTTACTTACCTGCTGTGAATGTAGGTGGTAGAAACATCTGATGATGCAGAAGAAGAGGCAGCAAAGAAGCGCAGGGAAATCCTTGCACGGAGACCTTCATATCGCAAGATACTCAATGATCTTTCTGGAGCAGATATAGCAGGTTTGCATTAATTGGCTGTATAATGAATGGTGTCAGAGGTTTGAAAGAAGTATTCCTGTGCATGCCAAAGAATTGACCTAAAGGAGGACCTGGAGTTTGTTCCTCAAAGTGAAATTGGTGACAAAGGAAAGAGCTCTACAGTGACACACTATCATACTCTGGTTCCAGATTGGATCTCCCCCCACTACCTGTAGTTAATGGAGACTGTGGGGGGTAATACGATTTCAATCCAAAAACAGCGTAGAGGAATTGTAATTCTGATCTGTAAGACAGGTGTGATTTTCAAAATTGAACACTGAGACTGGGTGAGATTATGGGAACTTCCAGTAATCCAAACTCTTCAATCTGTACATTGTTGCTCTCTGCTTGATGAACTGAATTCAATTATACCTACCATAATTGCATGACCTTTGATCTGACTTCCCTTATCCCTACATGTGTTTTTTGTTTGCTTTTCTAATTGAGCCAAGTTTTACAATGCTTCAATTGGTTCATTCACATGAAATATTAGTGTTCAATGCCCAATACCAATGTAATATCTATGCCCTTATGGACACTGGATACTTGTTGAAAACATACTGTTCTGAAGTTCACATTGGAGACTAACCTAACTATGAATGATATAACCATATCTTTCTAAAACAAATGTAGTTTTAACCTTTGAGCTACCCATCCAAACCAAACTGAAATATCACATGACTGGGCTAAATGAGGGGGGTGGGGGTGGGGTTGGTTGGTGGGGTATCATTCATTTCAGCTTATGGAGCTGAGTGAGACTTTATATATTCCAGATGTACAGTCATATAGTTGGTCTTGACTAGATATTTTCTTTTACTTTAAACTAAGTGGTTTTCAAATTTATTTGTTTTGATTTTCTATGCAGGCCTTTCCTGTGTCTCAGGTTTTGTGGGAAGAACTTTTACATCAGTTGGTTTACTTCAATCTGCATTGTCTTATTTAAACCTTACTTATGATTTAATCATGTTATTTATTTAGTAGATTAATAAGTGGGAAATTCAATACACATAGGTATACACCTTATCTACTGCTATTCATATTTATGTAATTATTTTCAGAAAGTATAGCATTTTGAATAGTGTGCTTTATTAAGTGTTTTGGTTTATGGCCTAGGTTGGCTGGGCTCCTTTCTCTTAAATTATGTATTGATGAGAATGATGTAGCACATAAAAAAAATACTTTGGGTTGTTTTAGATCGTGATAGTGAGAGTCCACCAGGTTCAGAATCCAGCCAGGAGAGTTCCACTGTTACCATCACAGCTGGAGCCCCCTATCAAGCAGGACTCCTCAAAGGTGAATTATCCAACATCTAATTGATTAGAATTGGAATCTGTGTTCACTATTTTGTATAAAGTGATTATCCAACCATGAACATTAAATACATTGCCATTGCTTCATCTGTCAATATGATGTTGGGGGTGCCATTAATGACATGCCTGAATCTGTCTCTATCAGAAAATGTTACCAGCAGGTCTGATTCTTCCTTGGTGCTTTGATGTACACACCACTCTGCAAGGCAGGGATGAAAGTAGCAGTATTAGATTTGACTTTGCCATGAACAAGCTACACCCAAGTACCATGCTCCCTTGGAAGGCAGTGAGCTGTAGTGCCTTCAATCCTGCTATTAACTGATATTCCAGACCATGGGCATGTCTTATGTACCATGCTGCCCAACACCCATATGGTTACTGAATAGTTCCCCAGTGATATGCCATGTCAGCTGTCATTTGTGGACTTTGAAATCAATGTGGTTCAGGAAGCAAAGGAGTTGGGCATCCATGCAATAGGTCATAAATATGACATGGAGGAAAGCTGTTTGCACAAGCAGATGGAGGTGAAGGCGAAATTGAGTCTGGCTCTAAAGAATCTCATGGCCTTTCCTAAGGAAAAATGGATAATTTCTGGTAATTTAGAAGTGGCAGAATACATGAAAGAGTGAGTCTGTACTTATGTAGAAAAATCCTCGAAGCATACTTCAACATTTTGCTTTGTTCTGGCGCTGTTTGTCAGTTTTTGGCCTCAAAAGGATAGTCTATGTGTAAAACTAGAGTGATCTAGATGCAAACCTGTGCAATTGCAAGAGCAAACTTGATCTCCCATTGGAAATTCAATGCATCATGAGGGGGTGATTCATGAAGTGAGTTGAATTTTCTCTTTGTCAGAAAACCTCAATGGTTCAAAAGTTTTCATGAGAAATGATTGTCTCTGGAATGGTCCCTTGGAGGAGGATGAAAGCTCTGCGAATGATTTTTCCACACTGCCAGACACCTCAGATTCCAATACTGAATGAAGTCCACAAATCGACATAGCCACTCCCTGTTTACTGTTTTATTGTTATTATATTTCTCCTGCTCTGACTGACTGCAGACACTGTTTCTGCCGCAATAAGTGGCCGATGAGTTATAGGTATGCTGAAAAATTTTATTCTTGAAAAGGAGAATTTTTTTCCCTCGAGTATAAGATGCACCCCCTCATTGAACACTATAAAATATGTATTTAAAACAAAGTGCCTTTTACACAAGTAAATACTGTAAGTAAGCAAATAAGTCTTGAGTACTTGGTCTTCATGATTTTCAAGTCTCCCAGAAAATTCTTTCAATGTGTAGTCCTCCCATAGAGCAACTCCATTAGTAGAGTACCTGGTTTTCCCAGAGTCGATTTAAAAGGAATATAGGAGTTAGTATTAAAGGGACTTATTGTGTTTGCAGTGATTCCCGCATCAGCAATTCAGCTGACATCGGGAGGAGGGGTCGTGACAGCATCATCCTCATCACAGGACGGGGGACTTCCTACCCTCACCATGTCATCTGCTGGTTCCCCTCAAGGAACTACCATTGTCCAGTACCAAGGACAGGATGGACAGTTCTTTGTACCTGGTGGGTTTGTGTTCATGCATTCAGAAGTAGACTTTAATGTCTGCCTACCTTCTGATCATTTACAATGCTGTAAAGTTGAAGGATATATCATTTCTGGAGGACTTGAGGAAGCTGAAATTCAAAAGCATTTTATTGTTGTGTTATTGTTTCTCAGAATCTTAACAGTATGGAATTTTTTTCCTTTTAAGATGTAGCTTTGTGGAGTCTTGCATTTTCCATATTTGAGTGGCCTGTGAAAAACCTGATTTTCTGTTGATGTAACCTTATCCATGCCCCTTTCAGTATCTGCAAACGAGTTGCAAGGGTACCGGCTGCAAGCTGTGGGTGGTGGTGGTGGGGCATCAGGACTTCCATCTGGTGTTGTCCTCACTTCAGCCAGTGTGACGAATGCAGACTCCATTGTGGAGGAAGCAGCACGCAAGCGCGAAGTGCGACTCCTCAAAAACCGTGAAGCTGCACGAGAGTGCCGACGCAAAAAGAAGGAATACATTAAGTGTCTTGAGAACAGAGTTGCTGTCCTTGAAAACCAGAACAAGGCTCTCATTGAGGAGCTCAAATCTCTCAAAGAACTCTATTGCCAAAAGGCCGAGTGAAGGAGGTGTAGGTACGGATGAACCGAGACATGGATATATTTGAAGGGGCATTCTCACATGTGCACACACTGAGATACACTGATGTATCTCTTTGAGCAAATTCAGAGCCAAGTTCAATTTCAGAATCCTCCCTAGTGGATCATCTAGTCGACCTTACACGTTTCCATTTTTGTTGTTTCCCCTTTCCCCTGCTATTCCAGTTCCTTTTAAGACAAATTCTTGCTCTGTTTGTATGTGCTGATTTCTTTCTCAAGGGCTGCATTCCATGTCTGATTGTTGCTTTTTTAGCCTTGCCTTTGTCTGAACTCTATGAAGGTATGCCTTGCTTTGCACCATGCAGGATAATTATTTGCTTATTTTCATTTTAAAAAAAAGCTTTTGATTATTACAACCTCAAAATCGATATGTATTGAATGAGCTCTAGGTAATGTTATGTGGTTTCCTCAAGAGGCATTCAGATTTATATCCCATTTGTGTCTCTCTCTTCCAATACTTCATGTTTTAAAAATATTGTTCTGTTGGCTTTGTTCTTGAAGCGAGAAAGTGGTGCATGTTGATAATACTTTCACTTTGTTGTCCTATCATGGATGTTCATTGACCGTCCAGACTCGTTGCTCTCTTGCATCCATTTCTGCCTCTTTGTGTCTGGTCTTGGCTTAGTGTCAAATTGGCCTCCGCTCAGCATTGCCTGGTTGCATGTGTGGACTGTGACTTATCTAGCTTGGAGGAGAGTTATGTTGCAAATCAGTTTCATTGGTGACACGATCTCATTGTTTGTGTAACTTCATTTGGATTTGAATCCATTACCCCCTACCTTCCAATTTTAGTTGAGTCAAGGTGCATCTCTGAGGTGCATTGTTGTTCACCCTTCCATGTGGGAAAAGAGAATGAGACCTATGATTTTTGTTTGGATATACACAGAGTTGATCCTATCATATCGTGGTTTTTTCATCCTTGGACTTATGGCCCACCAATATGAAGTGGGGGATGGCCTGACAGCTTGTCTGTGATTTTGGTTTTAAAGTAAATGCATTTGCGAGGGGTTTTGTGCTTGTGACCTCACCCCTTTTCATCTTTAATGAAGGAAAGAGGAACTCGGGTCTCATAATTGGTGGGACAAATGTCCAAGGCCAATTGCACATATATGAAGAGGTTTGATTGATTTGTGTTGAAGTGTGTTTTTTACCATCCATCTTCCATGGCCAGGAGGCATTCAAGGAAGCTACGTGAATGTTTTCCAATGAAATGGGCAGTGATTTTTCATTCCCTATGGAGTTGATTGACAGTTGATATTTTTTAGCTTCAAAGCACATCTTCATTGGGCCTACTAAGGAGTGCAAGTGCAGAATTCCATTTACTCGTTTTTAATTTTCTTGGCAAAAGCTGTGGTATTGGATAATAGGGATTCTCACAACAAAAACACACCTTTTTAAAGAAAAAGCCTTCATCAATGTATTGAATTATTTGGAAACCCTTTGGCTAAGAAAAAAAAGACAGGAATACGGAACACGAGACATAATCATACAACCTTCCGTATTGTAGGAAAACGAAGATACTTAACCCTTATCTGGGCAAGGGTAGTACATTGGACTCGATTAATTGTATTTTGATTCATATTTACGAGGAGGCATGTTTAATGTGTCCTTTAGATGATGCAAGACAATGTTACCATGGAAAAAAGAAATAATATAAACAGTCTTTTTAAACGCTTTCCTGACGTAAACGGGCAAGGGGAGTTCGCTTAACTCGTTACATTTATATACGTTTTGCAACGGTTCTTCGCTCTTGCCGGCACCCATTCACAATCATTTCGCTGCATCATATAGCCGCAACAAAGTCACGCCGGGAATACAGCTCAGTTTTGGGCTACTCTGAAAAATCCTCTGGCGTGCCTCTGTAGTGACGATCTCTACTTTGGTGAAGCCTGCATGCAGTGCTTGATTGTGCTCCAGTTCGAGTATGCCTAGCTAACATAGACGGTTTTCTCGCCGTTTCATGCAGCCTGAGATAATTTTGGTATGACATACGCAGCCGTGGAGTCTATTCCAGGGGTTAAGGGATCGCGGCCACCTCCCGCGCCCATTGGGAGGTAATATTTTTCCTTGCTAATCTCTAGTAGGGTATAGCGCTCCCGCTCCGCCGCCCTGCCCTGAAGTATTCCCTTCATGTATCCTGTAGCGAAGGAGCTGGTAAAACACTCTTTTCAAAATGAGTTTAAAGATTTGCAAATTCTTTTTTATTATAAGAATCTTATTTTTGTTTCTGTTCCCTTAGACTGCGGTGAGATATTGAATGTCACTGGAAATTATTTAAAATAAAAAAGCATCCTAGACTATGAAGAGATGGATGAAAATCTCAGAAACTTCCGTCAACACGTTGCATGGTACGACAAAATATACGACTTCTAATTGTCTCAGTAATCATTTTTTAATGGAGTAATTACTTAATTTTTCTACATATGAATACTCTGGGAATTGTTCTTGTGTTACTGTGCAACTGTGTGTCTGTGATTATTGCATACGGCACAATGAATGTAGGGTGATTCAAAAGGAAGAGTCCATTGGACTCCCCTTGCCCACTTAGGAAAATACCTTTCCTGGAAAAAGGTTTAAAGAAAAAAGGTGTTTTTTGAGAGCATTACTGAAATGTGATTTAGCTCCCTCTTCTTTTTTCATTTCTTAGAAGTGTTCATTAAATTAAGTATATAGTAATAGCAATATATATTGGGTTTGTGGGAAAGTTCAGTCGTTTTTGCTTATGTACAATTGTACTGATCTCCCAAATACGAATACAGCTAGTGATGAATCATCGATTGTTTTTGTTTTTATCTTTGTGGGTTAGAGTATAAAAGGATGTCATCACTAGACGTATTCGTGTTTGGGAGATGAGTCCAATTGTACATAACAAAAACTACAGAACTTTCCCACAAACCCAATAGTAACAGTATGGGCCTCGAGTCCCCTGATTGCAGATTCTCTTTTTCGTTCCCAGATCTGGCAGCAAATGATCAGAACTAAATAGATTGTGAATCGCGATAATTTCCGTGTGAATGAGCTTTCCCATGGAAGAAAGATGTAAAATTGGTTGAAGTCATAGTTCTACTATACATTTCGTGGATGGAACTCTGGAGTTACGCATCGAGTAGAATTCTTCTTGCTTCGTCTGCCAAGGTGTCAATTCTTTCTCTGGACAGACATGGTGGTTTGCTGGCGACATCTGAAAGCATAAAGCTATTGTGATGCTGTGTTCTCCACATGGTAGCTACAAATCTTAGGTAGGAGGAACGATGATACAAAGTAAACGGAACCAGTCACATTAATACGAATCCTCTGATTCCAGAAAAGGAGAATCCTGCCTTATACGTTCTCCGCAAGATTTACTCGTTACTGCTCAGGGGGGGGGGGGGAGTGGATTCCATCGCCGTTGTGGCAAAAAAACGTACAAGATATGTCGTGGATAAATGGGAAACTTGCGTTCCTCCCTTGTCTCTTTTCGCCTCCTCGTAAGAAACATTTTTAACTTGTATTATCCGACGGTTAACGGACCATTACACTCAAATGAAACGACCGAATAGCGAGATCCCTAGTCTAGATAGATATGCGCGCAACTCATTCGCCTGACTTCCGTAGTTTACATGTAAATTAACGTATATCCTTAAGCGGAGGAGGTGGCTTAGGGAAGATCGTCGCTTCAAAAACCCAGATCGGTTCGTCAACATCGAGCCAATGGTGATGCGATTTGGGTGCAGATGAATTTTTCGAGCACTCGACCCACATTTGAAATCGATGAAATACACTCATGCTTGTAAGTGAGATTTTTTGCTCCCCCCTCATATACGGCGATCGCATTGGCAAGCTTCCCAGACTTTTGGCACTTGAGACAGGAGGCAGTAACGACCTGGAGCGTATCGACCGCAACACACAATGCACCTAGTCCGTTCTCGAGCACGTCTGGAACTTCGTCGTTTGTAACTTCGTCGCGTTTGCATGCCGTAATGCGCCATGCTGTCTTCCCAACTCGTCTTCGTATGGATGAGGACACCCCCCCCATCCCCACAGCTCTCCAGGTCTCTCTTTCGCAATCGAACATCGATCCTTCACCCAGTTCCGGAAGTGCAGGACACCGAAATGTATGGCTCGTGTGTTTCGTTTCATTCTACCTACGAATTTTCATTCAGCGTTCCGAGTATAGAGGGCACTGTTGATGTGCTGCTGAAAATGCTTTGAGCATTTTTTCCATTTATCTCATCAAGAAAACAAGCTGGAAAGCAGTCAAAGAAAGAAATTTCAATATTGTACTGCAGGGTTAACCACCCGGCAGGTATCATGGCATCCCATGAACGTCCCACAACGGACATCCCATGAAGATACGAGGGATTTGGCACGTAGGACGTAAGTATTCCTCATCTTCCTGGATGTCCTGTTGCTCATTGGGTAGGTGGTTGGGAGTGTGACGTCAGAGAATTCCCTGAGTATTCTGCCGATCTGGTGAGGTCCAGGGCAAAGAGCTTAATTTTTTTTCTCAAACGTTTTCTTTCCATGCGTCACTGAGTAATCAGCTTTGCGACTGCCTATTAAAATGGAGAGACACTGGAATGCAGGATATATGATAGCGATACGGAGCGCCCCCCCCCCCTTTATCCCCTCATCCCTGCTTGTCAGTTCGACCCCAATTAACGAGCAGGGTTAGAGTTAGCGTTACCAATCCTCCCGCATTCTGCGGGACAGTCCCGAATTTGGTTGTCTGCCCGGCGTCCTGCAAACAGAAAGTTTGCCTACGTTTCCCGCTATAGAGTAAACGATTAAAAAAAAAAGTTGAAAAAAAAGTACAGGGTGGGCAATAAGTCTGGATGCCCCATGGTTTACGTGTCCAGGAAATCTGTATTGTCTCGGCAAATTATTATCCGGTGCCAGGACCCGTGAGACATTCGTCTGAATTGGGCCGCTGTGATCGTGGCAAATACTGGACGAACAGCGGTTTTCAGCTCCACCGGCATGCTGTCGTTCGTGTGCCCAGAAGCTTGCAACAGGGCGTTTTCAACGCTGTAAGAACTTGTATCACCCATCGTTCAACAGCTGCAACGAAAAATAAAAATGTATATACAGTATATCAATGTAGAAATCATGAAGGGGTGTCCGGACTTACGGCCAAAAACCTTTGTCTTGGCACACCCCCTGCTCCACCCGTCAGCCTCACGTGTCTGGCTTTCTAGTATCTCCATCACCACCCTCGGCGGGATGTGCCAGCGGTTCTCAAACTGGGGGAAGCGTGAGGGTCCCATGGGGGGCGCGACAGCTCATGGGGTTTTTACGCTTTTTATTTCTTAATTTATTAGAAGGATCAATTTTAAAAACTTTGCCTAATATGGATAGGTTTTTTTTTTCATCACTGAAAAATTTTACGACCTTGGAAGACTTGAAAGAAGGCAGATTTAAGCAGAGATGCGTGACGCAAATCCGCCCTTTTTTCTCTGAAATGCGAGACCGACGAGGCCTTTCTCATTAAAATCAAAGCAATCCCCTGACGAGGGCTTTGAAAGTACATTCGATTTCATCTTGGTGTTCGTTTTCATCGGCGACTTCCGATCGAGACGACGAATGGATCGTGCGTGTCTTTTGGTTGTCACTCGAACACTGTGCAGTGTTGGTGCATTTGTTTTCTCGAACCGAATGTTTGAAAAGACTCAAAGAGGCAGAAGAGCCGGGTTCCACAGGCAGGATATAATGTCCGAAGACATTTCTCTGTCGGGCCCTGGAAAATACTCTTCCCAAATGCCTTGCTGCCAAAATTACCTTGCTAAAATTCGATGCCACTTGAAAATGGGCTATGCAGTCATTGCTACCGTTCGGTCCAGATTTGATCGATTGAGAGCCCAAGAGCAGTGTTCCTGCAGGCACAAAACGTGCAGGCCTCGTTCGAATTGAATGTGGTGACTGACCAATTCTTAACTGTGACCCAGTCCTGGAATTATTGCAATCTTGCATCATTTATTGTTTTGCAATCATCGTACGCGGAGAACATCTGTAGGGTAGATTACATTTCCTGACTCTCTTCTCGAAAAGGAAAGAGGAGCGCGATGATAAGACAGGGTTGCTAGGGGGGCGCGACGCCAAGTTAGGGTCACTGGGAGGGGGGGGCGCAAGTTTACAGGGTGGGCCAAAAAAAAAGACAGTTTTCAATAGGGCTGTCACGATAGCAGTTTTCAAAACATCGATGCATCGACCAAAACTATCGATAGT